GGAAACGAACCGCGGCCATCCTGAATAGTAAGAGTAGTAGCCGTAGGAGGAGGCGGAGGAGGATGAGGAGCACGAGCTTGAGCAGGAGGAGTAGAAGTAGGAGTAGCTGTAGCAGTAGTAACAGTAATAGGCAGCAGTTGTTGTTGCTGGTGGTATTGCTGCTGTTGTTGTTGTTGTTGGCGCTACTGGTGGTTGTGGTGATGGTAGTCCGGGCTCAGCGGTGGCGGTGGTGGTGGTCATGGTGTCGTTGCTGCTGGACATCATTGTTGCCATCATTGTTGCGGTTGTGGATGCTAGCAGCGTGCTCCGTGTTGTCGCTGCTGTTGATGACGCCAGCATTGGTGGCTCTTGTAGTGCTGTCCTTCTGTTGTGATGGTTGTGGCATTTGTGGTGACGAGGCAGGGGTGGCACTGCCGGGTCGCGACAGGTTTGTGGCTTGAATGTGAGAGTGGTAGAGTTCTACATGTTCTGAACCCGAAGCCATACGCCATAAACCAGTATGCCCTCGCCACTGCACTGTAAGCAATCGTTCCGGATTGACAATCCTGATTCTGGGCCTTCTCAATCAAGTTGCAGAACCTTCCCCAATTGTGAAGGCCCCCTGAACACTGCTCAATACGCCGAAAGTACTCGGAACCACTACTGTATGCTCGAGCGTGTCCCTGCATCTCCGGCTGTAGCCTGCTGGTCTGATGACTGTGTGAAGGCAAAGAGTTCGGAAGGGAGCCTGAACCAGAAATCAAAGCACATCGAGTTGCTTGTACGGTTACCTGCATTCATATCTTCGAAACGACGCTGGGATACTCTGGGCCACTGGGCCCCTTGCCAGCTTTGCTCCCCCAAACCCGGCTCGCCAAGTGACCTCATCGAGAGACTGCTCGATATCGAAATTCAGCACTTTGGTCCATGATGGGTATGTAGGCTTACGGCCGGTTTGCTTCTTGCAGCGTGGTATGCGGAGCCAAGAAAAGCGATGACGAAACAAAGGGGCTGCAAAACGGGAATACTCTTCATGCCCACCATGCTCCTTTGGCAGGTATTTTGGCCGGGACACCGACTGGAACAAACTTGGACAAAGGGGCACTCGTGCATGGAAATCACGATACTGACCGCTGCACCTACGACCTACCGGAGTCGTGCTAGACCAGGACACTGACAGACACCGACCCACAACAAAGATCGAGACACTCACCATGGCGTAACAGCAATAGTATCCTCCTGGTCTTCATAATTCATGACAAACTCGACTCATCTCAAGAAGCATGCTCAAAGGCACTTGAAAGTAGGATGGCACAGACCAAGATCGCCAACTCCATCCCTAGGTCCTAGGTCCTAGATGAACTCCGAGTTCCACATTCCCAGCTTCAGGTCCAAGTCACTGAAGTGTGGGCCCTACCTGCGCGAACAACTCGGAGCTGAGTGGTGCGGAGTGGCGCAACATGGCACAACAACGAAAAGTCGTTCACCAAGGCGGATTTCTCGTGACACAGGTTGACAAAAACGGGCAGACTGTTCAGGGATGTCTCCTGGGCGTGAGAGGTTCTCTGCTGTGGGTTGGCCGCACAGGGCAACAGACACGGGGATCCTGTGAAAAGACAAGATTGACTTCGGTGCACCTTTCCAGAAGGCCACGTGAAGCCTTTGCGAAACACAAACCCTGCATTTCCCGCATAAACATTCCAACATGCTTGGGTTTACAGATGTTTTCGTGACTTCTACAGCCGGATTGGGAACACATTTCAGACGGCCACGAGACATGCTGTGTCGCGCCACGTGTCCGGACAGGCGTGGGATAACAAAAACATGGGGCCTGCAAGAACCAGTCTGAGAGGTCGCCGAGATTGGGATATCAATCGCAATCCCAAGGTGCTACAAGCTCAAAGAACACCAGAATTCGCTTGCAGAGGGTTGTCAGATTGTCGAGGCGCACCGGCCAAGAGGAGATGACAGCGAAGCGCAACTGAAGCCTCGGCGGTGAAGATCTGACAATACATGTAGTTAGGGCCCCAAAAAAGCACATAAGCAAAAATTAGGATCCGGATATCCCATATAAATCCCCTTATAAAGAAGCCCAGTAAGGTAGGGATATCCCTATAAAAAGCTTATGCTTATGTGCTTTTTGGGTCCCTGA